GAGCCCCCAGCAGCACCCCGGCGGGGATGAGCCACACACCGACGCAGCAGAACACGCCGGTCCCCTCCAGACCCCGAACGTCATTCCTCATTCAAGATATCCTCTGGGACGGCGCGGAACGGGGAGCGCGGCAGGAGAGGGGCAACAGCGGAGGCTGAGGGAGCACCGGGGCTGCTCCAGGACACCCCCCAGGGAGTTCTCGGCCCCCAGGAGCATCGCCAGCCCGAGGGACACCCCGCGAAGCAGACTCAGGTAAGCTCCTGGCTGAGCCCAGATCGGCAACGTCTGGGCTTGACTTAACCAAGGGCAGGAGCCCAACTCATCTGTCTCGAGCACCCCGGAGCCAAATAATCCATTTTAAACACTGGGGAGTATCTGTGCTTTAGCAGAGGGAGAGTAAGAGAAATAACAACTGCATGCAAACCCTGCACCAGGCGCTTCAGGTAACTCAAAGGACTGAATCTGCTTAAATGCAATTTGAAAGGAGAAAAAGACAAACAAAAACCACTCGATGGATTTCTGTGAATTTAGGCTGTTTGCAGCAGGGCTCAGCTTCCCCCCGTGCTCCTCCCGCCTGTGCTGCTGCACTCTGTGGGCTTCACGAAGAGCAATCCTGCTCCTCTGGCCGCAGCATCCTTTCCTAGCAAGCAGCTGCTAAATCCACTGGAAGCCATAACGTTGCACTGCAGAAGCCACAAACCAAAAATCACACTCGGAAGCAATTTTTTTTTTTTGACCGGTGCCTTTCACGTTTCACGGCCGAGGCTGCGGGAGGGGACTCAGCCTTCCCTTGCCTGAGCACCCCCGGGCTGAGCCGCAACAGCCGAAAAAGCCATTTTGAACTCTCCAGCTTGCTTGCAAAGAGAGCCCTTGCCAGGGGAATTTTGGCTTTGCGTTTCAATTCTATTAAAAGAAGCTTCTACATAAAAGCAAGTTGAGAAAGAGCCACCAGGCTGGTTATTACAAAAATCATTAAAAGCTGCACCAAGTCTCCCCAAAAGCGGTTAATGCACATCAGCGCAGCTCTGGGGCTGTCAGTGGGGCAGCTGTGATTTACAAACTGGGAATTAAGCGTCTTGTTGTTTCTATCTCGAGTGTTACGTTCACACCTTAAGAAAATATACTGAGAAATTACTAAAGGGGGGGAAAAAAAATGGCCAAGCTGGGTAATATACAAAAAGGAACTATCTTCATAAATAAAATGGACTTTTTTGAGAGCTATAGGTGATGCTTCCCAGGGAGCTCAGCACGGTGCCATGAGAAATAAGTCGGAGGCAAACACTAAGCTGTGATCTGAGGCCGGGGTTGCAGCTATATGTGTAAAGCCAGGCCTAAAGGTTTAAAACTCTGCCCCTAAATTTCCTGGCATTGCCTTCGAGTTGTGAAAGAAAAAAGGGAGGAATCTGTTCTGTTTTCTACCTGCAGTCTGCTTTAAGTCGCAGGATTTCCCATTTCCGAGCTATCTTTGAGGGAAGAAACTTGTTTTCTTTGGGGATCTGCGTTTTCTTCTTTGGGGATCAGGGTTTTCCCACAGGCACAGCAGAGAGGATGGTTCAAGCAAGTGCCCAATAGTATGAATTTTGCAATAAAAATCTCAAGAGCTATCGATGCCATCATGTACATAACAGCACCTTCAGGTTTTAGGCAGACCTCCACCAGCATTGCAAAACATCATTTTCTGTATTATTTTAGTGTGCTCATGTTGAATGCGTGCTTTTACGAGCTAAGAAAGTGTGATTTAGGACAAAAAAACCCTCCCTTATATGACTTTAAGAGAGCGTTTGCCCTATCAGATGAAAACATTTCCGAGATAATATGAATATTTTGCTCTCCAGAAGGGAAAAAGCAAGGGATTGAGGTCATTTCCAAGTGGGTAATTCTCTTTCCTCCCGCAGATGCCACAGCAGAGACGTACCTGTCGGACTGCGACCCCCCTCTGCGAGCCCTGCCCGTCGCCCATCGCCCCCCCAAGCAGGCGAAGCGCTCGCGGGCAGCGTTCTCCCACAGCCAAGTCCTCGAACTGGAGCGCAAATTCAGCCACCAGAAATACCTGTCGGCCCCCGAGCGAGCCCACCTGGCCAAAAACCTGCAGCTCACCGAGACCCAAGTGAAAATCTGGTTCCAGAACAGGAGGTATAAAACCAAGAGGAAACAGGTCGCTTCCGAAACGGGACTGGACCCGGGGCCGAAAGCGGCCGAGCTGCCCGGAGCGGCGCTGCTGGCGCTGCGTTTGGGGGGGGCTGGCCCCCCCCCCCCCTGCCTCTACTACTTGAATGGCTGGAGTGCCTCGTGGTGGTAACCTCTTTTTTGTTAGCAGAAAACATACCTTTTTCTTTTTTTTCTTTTAAAAAAATTTATTTTAGTACTGCTCTTCTAGTGCTAATTAGGGGAGGGAGACTGCATTTGTGGCAATGATCAGCAGCTAGTTGGTGCAGAAGCCTCTCCCATCACTAACAGTAAAAGAAAACACTAAGATTTTAAACCCCTATAATTCAACATGCTTATTAGCAGCGCTCTGGAGTCGAGACTTAGCTGTAAACCATTGCAGGCTCTTTCAGGGGCAAAAGGGAGATGGTGCATCCCCAGGGAGAGAGAACACCCCTTTTAAATCTCTTGCACACCGCCCTGAAGCTGAGATCAAGCGGGCAAAAAGCAAATAAGCTGATCCTGGGCTGGCACTGACACGGGCCCAGCTCGGTCAGCAGCTGTCGTATGACCTAAAAATTAGGGTTAATAAATAAATAAATAAATAAAATTTGCATTTCTACCATTGATACCATAATTGTTAATGGTCCCAGAGGAGACTTTGAGCCCCACCAGAGAATTCTGTGTGCCCTCAGGCAGCACCACAGCCTCCAGCCGGGGCAACACGTAGTTTTGGGGAGAATTAAACCCCTTTTGTGCCACGAGTGGCAACAAACCTGACAGGAAGGGAGCCTTGGCGAGGACCGGCTGGGCCGGGACGTGCGGCTGTCCCCGCCGGGAGGGGACCCGGCCACCGGGCCAGCTCCCCCCCACCCAAACCCGTCCCTCTGCCCTCGCACGGCCGCGATGCCAAGCGCCGCTGCCTCCAACAGCCTGGAGAAGCCAAACCAGAAAGGCTCAGAGCAGGGACAATAGCGCAATGACAGACGAGCTTTGCATATCCGGGTGTCGATGCTCTTCGAGCGTCCCCGTCTGAGCTCCTTCAAACAGCAGCAGCTCAAAGAGCTCGATGCTCCCAGCGGCTTTGAAAGTAGCAAATTCCCAGTTTGTGAGGGAAACCAGCCTGATTCCCAGCAGGGCAACGAGAGGGTGATACCTTTACACGCTTTTTTTTTTTTTTTAGTGAGACCACAACTACTTGCACTAAAGGTCTGGGGTCGTTTTTCTTGGTGACTAATCATACTTATGACTTTAGATGCCACTAAGTCTATGGGAGAAAGCGGAGAAATAAATGAGATTTCCAAGAGAGGAAACGCTTTTTCTCAGCTGGTGTAAGAAAAAACTTAATCTTCCGAAACAAAAATACACTCTGGACCTCCAGAAATGTTCCTGAGGTGCCCGCACTTTCCAAAAGAGAATTAAAAACCACAGCGGTCCAATTCCCTCCTGCAGCAGGGAAATACAGACAACTAAATGATATTAAGAAATCACTTAGGACTGTCCCTTTTTAAGAAGACTGTTTGCAAACTGATCTCTTGCCTTGCCAAGACCTTGCAAGCACAAGATCTGGAACGAGATCAAGCACAAACGGAGCTGCCGGGGTACGTGGATGAGGGGAAACTCGGGGGAAGGGAGGATGGGGAGAGGAGAACACACAAACCCAAACCCTTTGTGGTAGATACTCTGGCTAACAAAGCTGCTTGCTCAAGTTGGAGGACACCCAGTTGCTTTCCAACTGTCTGAAAGTAACCCCTGATATCTCAAGATAACATTTTGCTTCCAGCTCCACTGTTGCAAAGTGTTTCCAACCCAGCCCCGCTGCTTATCCGCTGCTTGGGACAACAACAAAAAACCTTTCTGGCCTCGAAGGGGAGCCCCCGCAGCCCTCCTGAAGGCATCGCCGGGTGGTCCTGCCAAAATCCCACGGGCTCACCCGCACCCAGACCCTTGGGACGCTGCTTAAATCACCACAGAGACACCCAATTTGCACTAAATCCACAGGATTAGCAGCTCCGACCATCCCGGAGCTGGCCCCAGGTCAGGATCACGGTGCGTCCTTTGCAGGCATGTTATGTCGGGAAGGACTGAACTGGGCTGGGAAAACTAGATATAAACTGAAAATTAGATACAAGCTGAACTTCTTGGTTGCTTCTTTGGGAAAATGTTTGTGTAAAAAATGTATTGTAAAATATCCTCCTTGCTGCTTCCCCGCCCAACCGCTCAGACTTTGCTGGCGTAAAGCAAGCCCGGTGCAAATAGTCGTTATTTTTGCACATAGTTTTTGATACTGTTTTACCTCATGTGCATTGTCCTTTGGAATAAAAATCACGCAGCCTTTACTAAAAACAAGCTGTCTTTGTGGCTTCTTTTTGCCCTGGGCTTGAATTTTCTCTTCTGCCCCAAAATGACCACAGCTGTCCTAACCAGCTTCTCACTTGCACAACCGCTGTGGATGCTGCTCTCCTTTTTTTATTATTATTTATTTTTCCGAGTTTTGTGCAATTAAAACTGTCACAAGCACCAGCTCACGAGGTTTCGCGGGTGGTAAACCATCATTCATCCCTATTTCTAGGGGCTCAGCACCTAATCCTGCTCCAGCCAGGTATCGAGAATCACCGAGCATCCTCTAATCCCATTTACCCTCCGATGAGGTGACTCTTGCCCAAAAGTAAGAGCTTATATAGCAAACTACTTTATTTATCACCCCCAAACTACCTGCAATCCCACAATTTAAGCACAACCCTGGTGACCTCTGGTGTTTTGCTGGCCCCTGGTTTTATTTCTGCTCCTGCCTTCCAGTTCTGCAACCGCGTCAACATAGTCAGGGGCAGCGTTGGGCTCCACGGGACCATCAGAAGAGGAATTCACCCAGGGAGCTGCCCGTGTGGACACGTCCACCTCGTACAGAGGAGGAGAGGGACCGACCTTGGGACCCATGCACACTCCCTCGTCTCTGCTGTTGGTAGCAACAGCTTTTCCCGAATGGAATGCAAGCTGAAATGCCATTCCTGCCAGCTTAATTTTCTATTTTGGTGCCTTTGGAATTGGATTTTTTTTTTAAAAAAAAAATTAGCCAAAATAACAACAAAAAAAATCAGAATGCCTGCAGTCAAGATGGTAAAATGAGATCTTGGGGTGCCCCTGTTGCCTTGGGAGGCTGGTGTTGGATCCTCACCAGCCAAATCCTCAGGCAGTGAGGGGTGCAGGGGGCAGGCAGGGGGGCAGGGAGGCGGTCCATATCCTACAGCCTCTGCAGTGGAGAAACATCTTGGCTGAGCCAGCCCTGCCAGGAGCACTGCCTCCCCTCCCCTCCTCTCCTTCCCCACCATTTTTTTCTGCAACCCCCAGGTGGTTTCTTTATGGGCAGAAGATCGACTTCCAGTTGGTTTTTCCTTTTTTTTCCCCAAGCACAAAGCACGAGGACAAAAAAAAAGGGCGGCACCGTTTGGATAACCAAATGATCCGAGAGTGTTAAAACATTAATCACAACAAGGGGAAAGACATGGTGATAAATACCCACTTGATTAACACAGAAAAGAAAAATCCCACCCTAACTGTGGAGTTTTAATCAGCCCTAACAAAGCAGGACTCCTGTTTGTACGCAGCTAGAAGCAGAAAGCATCATTTAATGTCTGTCAATTAGTGTCACGCTCCGCCGCTAACATATCCATCAAGATTAAACAGTGTCTAACGCTGACATAACATTTACACTTGTTTGTGCCAAATCATTTATCTAAAGCTGGGTGGAAAAAAAAAAAAAAAGGAGAAAAAGAGAAAAGAAAAAAGGCTGCCTTTGGATAATGTAACTGTTGACTAACATTTGCATGCAATAAACCACATACTTGGCAAGGACTCGCAGGACTGGAGCCAAGGAAAATCTTCAACTTGACCTGCACAACATTTGCAAACCAGAGCAGTGGGAACAAGTTTGTTACATGGAGCTAAACAGGGCACGGAAAATGCGAGGACACCCAAAGGGCCAGGCTGCACCGGAGCTCTGCGTCCCCTCAACTTTTAGTACCTGGTTATGACAAAGATGCTCTGGAGGGAAGCGCAGAAAACCTTTCAGCAACGAGCACTAGGATACTTCTTTTGGGATGTGTAGATGCTTCCCAAGAAGAGAGGCTACCTAACCCATCAAGGAAAAGGATTTAGAGCTCTTGAGAACCCTGGAGGATTTCCAGTATTTATTATTCTTATTGTGGATGCTCTTGTTGTCCACAGAAACCCTTCATCTCTTTCTAACCCAGCTAACACCTCAGTGGCGAGGTCGTCCTGCGCGGGGTGTCCCGCATCCCTGTCGGGGTGCTGGCGGGTCAGGGAAGCAGGGGAGGAGCCGGGTGGCACAGTCGTCAAGGTGGATTTTCACCTCGATGGACAGCCAACAGGGAAAGCAAAGGAAAAGGGGGGACGAAAATAAAATCAAAAATAAAAAAGCACTGCAGCGATGCAGCTTTGCAGATTGGTGTTCCCATGGGAAACTCCTTCACCGCCTCTCACAAAAATCCAAGGAGCATTCCTCCTCTTTATTCCACTATGGTCTGGGCATCATTTGTTAAGAACGACCAAAGGGAGAGAGAAATCCACAGCAAACAGCCCTGGAAGTGCTTCCAAAGCTGTCTGCCCGCGGTAATTTATGGCGGCCCGCTCGAGAAGGGAAAGTCAAGAGATAAGACAAATATTTTTACAGGAGAAGGAGTTAGGAGCGAAGCATATATGGGTGGGATTTCTGTTGAAATGCTCCGGTCTTGGAAAAAAAAAAAAGGAACAGGGCAAAGAAAGAGGATTTTGGAGTCAGGTATCATCAGCATCTGGACTCGGTCTTGTTGCTTTATCCCCAAGCTTTCGTGATTGACTTTCCAACTCAATTTGATTTTACACCCTCCACCTGTCAACATTTTGCACTGCCCGAGCCTGGTGAGGCTGGGTCAGGGCTGCAAAAAAAGAGCGAGGGACCCCGCGTCCCGCAGAGGAGGTAAAAACAGAGACGTCGGCAAAGCCTCCCGAGGTGTTTTTCCAGCCCAGCCCAGGTGGCCCAACGGGGTCCTGCTCGCGCCGCGCCGGAAAGCGAAGGGATTAGCACAAGTCCCTTTGCAAACAGAGCTTGGGTGGGGGCACCCCAGGCTCCTCGCCGCTCCCCTGAGAACATCCAAG